GTTGCAGCCATCATTGTTTGGCAGGCCGAGGCTGGATTTGAACCTGCCAGCTCAGGTGTAAGTGGCTGGCATCTTAGCCGCTTGAGCCACAGGCGCTGAGCCTAGTTTTCCTATTTTTAATAGAGATGGGGTCTCACTCTTGCTCAGGCTGATCTGAAACTCCTGAGCTCAAGTGATCCAACTTCCTCAGCTTCTCAGAGTGCTAGAATTATACGGTGAGCCACCATACCCAGGCCATAACTTTAGGTGTATGAGTATCAATTAAATAACATCGAAATCAGTTGAAATTCTTAAATAAGCTGTTCACTGATGATGGTATGGTCTATAGGATCCTTCAAAACTTTACCCAGTTTACCTCCCTAGTTTCCCTCCAAGCCTCCCAAGACAACAGACTTTTTCATATCCTATGTCTTTGCATGTATAAAATGCATTGCTTAGAATGATACGCTTTCTCCTTTTCTTCTCCTATTAAATTTTTACCTGTCTTTTCAATTGCAACTCAAACATTTTCTCTTCTTTGAAGACATCTCTGACTTCTCTAAGCTAAAATCCTTTTGTGTGACCTGACAATCCTCTGTTAAAAAGACAATCATAGAATCTATCAGGATCTATGGTAATTATCTGGCTATAGGTCCGCCTGAGATGTTCAAAATTGTATCCCCAGTGTTCAGCATGAAGTAGGTATTCAATATATGTTTGCTCAATCAGTAACATGCAATGAATAAATAACAAAAAATAGGAAGATGTTATTTCTAGATTTTAGCAAAAGGCATTAAAATATGTGTGTGTGTTTCTCTGGAGAAAGGGATCTCGCTATATTGCCCAGGCTGGAATGCAATGATTATTTATAGATATGATCGTAGCTTACTACAGCCTGGAACTCTTGGCCTCAAGCCATCCTCCTGCCTCAGCCTTTCACTAGCTAGGACTATAGGTATGTGCCACCACATCAGGCTAAATGTGTTTTAAATAATCTTATAGCTCTGTAAACTAGCACTAAAAAGTAGGTAACTATTTATTCACATAGCCAGCAAGATAAACCATTAGAAACTCTAATTTCTTAATACACATGATACAGTAAAAAAAGAGAAAAAAAAGAAAAAGTTCAGAGAGAAAGGAAACACATGCACAGTATTTGCTCTTAAATTACTGCTACATCTGACTTAGACAAACATGGGGGGGGAGCACAAGTCCATGGTTCTTGTGTGATTCACAAGGAATAAAAAGCACAAGAGTGGTGATATCTTTTAAATTATATATTCAGATAACTCATCAATAGTTGGAGCTATAAAGTATTCAGGCCTTTATTTCACAATCTTGTGGAACAGAAAGCAAATGCTCTTTAGTTTTCACTAGCAGAAAATGTATGTGGATTTTAACTATGCTTATGACGACTTAAAAAGAGAAATAATCTAATAACACATACAAATAACTCTGTACGTGTAATCAAGTTCTTTCACACAATTTTCCCACAGAATTATATACCTTCTTTTAAAGTCCATACTGTACAGGTCAAACTCATCGAGTATTTATTAAACTATATGAACATACCCCCATGACCTTAACTTGTCTTAGTCTTCTAAGGCAACACATACCCAAACACAAGCCCCTTTTCAAAAAAGGACAGAGAAGCTTTCATTCAGCTTGACGCTCATGTTGTAGTAATGAGACCACTTTCCAAAGCCAATGTGTAATACTTTGCTATTCCTAAATCTCTGCAATGCAAACACATTAATGTAAGTTGTACACATCTTGCTGCTCAGTAAATGGCCTAGAAATATTCCTCCTACTAGCTCCACCTGCTGTCAAAACATTCACACCTAAAATTACCATTTCACAAAGACTTTCAATAAATGTATTGAAATGCATTACCTTTGTCTCCCCACTACTAGTGAAAGAGTATGTTCAGAAATTTCTACTTTCAAATACCGTATTGAGTCCTCTATGTACACTGTTCCACTAATAGTAGTTACCTAAACACAACTTCACAACAGTTACAGATTAGGATCACAACATCAGGAGCCACAGAGATTTGTATTTATCTCTGTTTGTTGTTTACACGTCTATATAAGGTGTTCAGAAATTGCCTGTGTAGTTGGACTCTATCAGTAGTTTGCAGAATTTTTTTTTTTAAGTGGTAGGAAAGGTTCTTCTCTATAAAGCAGGAAAGCCTGATGTGTGTAGAGAAGATTTGGTTTCAAGCAAGGTGGGCTTTCCACCTTCTCTGTCCAGCACTAACCCTGAATTGTCCCCATAGGACCCAAGATTAAGGATCATGGCGTAAAGATCACTAGAACCAATAATCTTTACAAATCCTTCCTGACTCTGGAAGTCTGTGCATTTTTTGTACATTGGAAAACATCTTGCATTTTATAAAGGACCGTCGGCAAAATGAACTCTTCATG